CAGGGATCCTTGCCGTGTTCCTGATCCCAGGGGAAAAGCAGCCCATCTTTCTTCACTAAGCTCACGAGCCAAAGTCTACATGTTGATTGCCTTTATGACACGGAGGAAGCTCCTTAGCCTTTTCTATCTGCTGTTGTAATAAATGGCTGACCTGAACCCTGGTGCAGGTGCCACAAGGGGGCCTGGGACCCTGTTCTCATCCTGAACAAGGAGCTTTTCCCTCGGCTCAGGTGAGACAGACCTGGAAGTCACCGAAGCTTTGCTCTGACTCCTTGTGGTCAGTGCTGGGCTTCATCCTCAGGGTCCCCAGAACATTCCCCAGAGTAACCCGGGGGCTCACTGCAGACACGCTCCTGGGCCCTCCTGCAAGCCCCTGACTCAGAATCTCAAGGGGCCACCTCTGAAATCCTCCTGATTTGAGGGACCCTCCCAGGGAAGTTCTGACCTGGAGCATCACCACCTTGTCCTCTGCCAGCAGGAGCTCATGGCTCCCCTTGACAGGAACATTGTCACAAAGATGAGGACTTCTGTTTCCAGTAATAAGTGGCCCTGATGCCATCACAGGCCTCTCTCTACAAACTCCCAAACAAACTCGCTGAAATGACCAAATGTCTTCTGTGGGCTCCATGAGGGTGGCTGGCCCCAAGGCCCAAAAGTGGAGCTGCTGCCACAACGCAGACCCACATGGGCAGTCCCGGGCATCCACTCACGGTGTGGACTGGACAAAGAAGCCGGGCCTGGAACCAGCACGAGGCAAGAAGTGGGGACCAAGACTCTACCTACAAACTGGGCTGCCAGGAAGTCAAACAGATGGTAGGAGGGTAGATGCAAATCACAGAAACTAGGCAAGATGGAAACCAACTGCCAACCTAGGCATGGCAGATGCAGAGAAGAAAGAAAATCGGTTTGTATTGGCCTGTGTCCTTGGAGTAAAAGCAAAACGTGTCCTCTTGCTACATGTGGACGGGCTTGTTCTCAGGGCTTGTATTTATACCACGTGGTTATCTAGAAAACCCCACACCACAAACGTTCTGGACAGCTTCACGGGGTCACCCTGTCCAAGGAACAACTTCTGCAGAGCAACGTCCCCTCAACAGGGCACATGGGAGCCCCACAGATAAAGACCTCCACCAACCATAGGGAAACAAGCCATCATGAGAAAGAGCTGGGGAAGCCACAGCGAACAGAGGTAGTCTCTCCATAAACTGCGGGTGATGGCATCACAGCACGGGTGATGGTGTTGTGATATGGAGGATGGCGTCATGACATGGATGATGGTGTCATGGCACAGATGACGGCATCATGGTACGGGTGATGATATCATGACAGGGATGATGATGTCATAGCACAGGTGACAACACTGTGACGTGATGATGACATAAGCACGTTCAGGTGATCCAGAAATTCAGAATTGTACGCTATGCAGAGGATACACGCTGTGAAGATCAAGTGAATCGAGCCCTCACATGAGGATGTACAGAAATGAAAAAATGTGAAATCCTTGAAATTAAAATGTCAGCAGGTAGACTAACCTGGCTGGGGATCAGATGCCGGAGCAGTGAGGTAACAGGAAACAAACCACAAGGAAGGCCATGTGGAAAGACCAAGCAGGAAAGTCCCAGAGCCAGCCACGGAGGTCAGAATGAAACGGCCAAAGGGACATTCCCAGGGCAGATCAGAGCCGTGAGGGCAGGTGGTACATTGTGACACATTTGTACTAATTTCCAAACCAGATAAAAGACATGAACCCTTAGGTTCAGGAATCACAACCAATGGTGGGACAGACAGAGCTAACGCCTCCCTGCTTCACTGTGGTGATGCGACCCAGCACTAGAGTCAAGGAGATGCACCTGAGATCCCCAGGGGACAGGTCACTCACTCGGGGTGGCCAGAGAGCCGGACAGAATGTGTATGCTGGCCACTGCAGCACACCTGCCAGTGTTCACAGGGAATATGTATCTCAACCCGACTGTTCCCCAACCAGACCACCACCCAACAGCAAAGGCAAAATACAAAGATTTCAGACAAATAAAAACTGAGGTGATTGTCGATAGATCATCACTGGAGGAACCACTAACCACTCAAGGCCCTTCAGGAAGAAGGACGTTAAACTCAAGCTCTGAAGTGGAAACCTAGCAAACCTGTTGGTAAGTGTAAGCACATCTCAACCACATACAAGTGACTAACTCAGAGGATTGTTTAAAAAGACAAAACCTAAACAGAGGCCAACAGCAGCTAACATGGGGAAGGGGCGCAGGGTGGGATCCGGGGCACTGGGTGGGAGACAGGGTGCGGGGTGGGATCTGGGGCATGGGGTGGGATTTGGGGCACTGGGTGGGAGACAGGGTGTGGGGTGGGATCTGGGCCATGGGGTGGGATTTGGGGCACTGGGTGGGAGACAGGGTGTGGGGTGGGATCCGGGGTGCTAGGTGGGATCTGGGGTTCCAGCCCCAAGACAGCAGCTGGTGGAGCCCTGCAGGACCCTCACTATGTGCATGGCTGCCAACCGAGGGGAGGGAGGGGGGGTGAGGCCTGGCAGGTGTGGCCAGGGGCACAGTGCCCCCTGCAGACTGCACCCCACAAATTAGACTCATGAGCACCAGGCTCTTCTGTGAACATACCGCACGCAGCCCCGGGCTCCGTGGCAGCGCATCCCCAGCACAGCTCCCAGGACGACGAGTGTGTTGTGGAAGTGAAGGCCTTTCTGTACCCGGCGCCCCCAGCATCTCACACTGCCCTGCCCTGGAGGGTCGCACCCAGGCTGCCCAGGGTCCGCAGGCCCCTCCTGCCGGCTTTGGCTCCTCTGACCCCCCGCCCCACAGGGACCATGTCCCACCAGCTCGTCCTGCCTGCCTCCCGTCCTCACCATCCTGGCTGAGGCTCAGAGAACACAAAGCTGACTGCGGCTCCTCCTGCTCTGTGGACTTCCAGGGCCCAGGCTGGTTGACACCTGCAGGCTCCTGGCACATCGGCACCAGCACACCAGGCGCCCACGTGGGCCTCTCTCTCCACGAGGAGGGCAGGCTTGCACCCACCTCACACGAGGAGAACACGTGGCGTGCCTAGGCTGGAGACCACGTGGAGCCGCACAGAGGCATGGTTGCCCCCCATCTCCATCCTGCTGCTAACCCCCCCAGCCAGCCCTACTCGGCACTGGCACCTCCTCCTCCAAGAAGCCTTCGGGACCACCCAGGCTGAGCCTGGCGCTAATACCCCAGACGCCCACATGCTCCACTCCCTTGCTGGTGCCCATCTTCCTCCCTGGATGCCAAGGAGCCCCTGCCACCCCAACCCCATGGGCCTCCACCCGGCCCTGCATGCAGGGGGGTCCTGAGAGCAGACCCCAGTGACCAGGACAATGTGAGCAGCTGGGGGCCTGGAACCTGCATAGGGATGGGAGCCTGGTGGGCAGGGCTCCCGCTGTCCACACTGCCTGCCACCACAAAGGGTCCTCCTGCGGGCCCTTTCCATGAAAACAGGAAACCCGCCTGGGAATCACAGGGGCACAGACGAGGCTCTGCAGGCCGTGAATGTGGGTGGGCAGCTCTTTCCCAGACCCTGGGTGTCACAGAACAGAAGCCCAGAGACACGGTGAGCTTGGGACATGGAGAGAAACCACGGAGCTGGGGAGACAGCTACAGGCCAGTGCTGGGATGGAGATGGCACCCGCCTCACATGCCCCCTGGTGCACCCAGATGCCACCCGCGGGTGAGGCTCAGGTGCAAGGCCTGGGTCCTGCCTGGGGGCGGAACTCAGCACAGCTGCTGGCGCCCTGCCGCATGGGGGCCGAGCGGCAGACCCTCCTGGCACTGCTCCCTCCCCCACCAGGGCTCTTGAGAGTCCCTGCTGCCACCCACAGGCTGGGGGCCACTCGGGGCCCCCGGGGGCCAGGCCAACGGCTCAGGCACGAGAAACGGCCGCGGCTCCAGGCTGGGCTGACTTATCCCGTCAGCGGGAAAGCAAAACTCCTCCGTGCAAAAGCATTCCACAAAGGGCGCCTGACTTTCCTGCTCTCGTGCCTCGTTAACATTCCGCAGGCATCCCCGGGTACTTAATAACAGCAAACAGTCTGAATGGAGCGCTCCGCATTCAGCAAACAGCCAGAGATGCTTCTACCCACGGCCGACCTGCCCATTAGCATTTACAGAGAGCCCCCATCTGCATGGCGACAATGGTCCTGCCCCTGAATCCGGAGTTGGGGGGGGTGGGCATTTGTTGGCACAATTGTCCCTTGTGCCCACTCCGGGGGGCGGGCGGGGAGCGCGTCCTGGGGACTCACCAGCGAAGTGGCCAGATTCGAGCCAGAGCGGAATCCCAACAGCGCGTGACGGGGCCAGGATGGCCCCATGCCCGATGGGGTGGGTGCCCCGGCCCGGTCCACAGACGGCCCTGAGAAGCAGGGAGCGGCTGCAGCCCCTGCCCGGAATGCTTTCTGCCAGGGGGGCTGCGATCAATGTGGGGGGCACATCAGGGGTCAGCCGCCTGAGAACGGAGCACTTGGCAGGGTGGGCACCCATAGGCACAAAGGGTCAGGAACAATATGAGCCTGTCCCTCTGCTACAGTCGAGATGGTGACACTACCCTTCCAACTGCCGAAGAGCTGGCATGTTCTGGTGGGTGCCGGGCAGAGGATGACAGAAGAGCAAAGGCACACGGTGCCAAGGAATGGGCCAAGTGTGGGTGCACAGTGCTGGCTCTGATGCCCCGTCCCTGTGCCACCAGGAATGGGGGGGGTCACATGTATGGGCCACCTCCTTTCTGCCAGCCACAGGCTGCCAGCCACATGGCGTGACCTAGGCGGGCCAGGCACCCGGCAGCACAGAGTGTGGGACAGAGCAGGACAGAGGGTCCCTCCAGGGTGGGGTCCCACCTCCTCAGAAGGACCTGCCTTTGAGCTGGGGGTGTGGGGAGGGCAGGACGTCACCGGGCAGACGCTAGGTCAGGGGAGCCGAGCGCCCGTCCCCGTCCCTGCAATACCACCCAGGGCGAGGGTGTCTCACCAGAGCTGTCGCAGTTGTCCACGGAGAAGTGGTCTGGCCTCCGCTCCTCCGAGACGGGTTCGCATGTGATGTGGGGGACCGTGAGCATTTTCTCTCCGGGGCTCACCCCATTGTCCTTGTCTTGTTTGAACTTCTTTCTCTTTACCTAAGATGATGAACAATAAGTTGGCAGTTCCCAGGCGTCCGCCAGCCCCAGAACCCCCTGGCGGTCCCCGCTGGGCACCTGCCAGGAAACCAGACCTCAGGGGCCAAGTGCCGGCACGGTCGCAGGCAGACAGGGAGGGCCGTGGCGTGGTGATGCTGCCGGGGGCCCCGTGGGGGGCTCGGCACAGGCGCTGCCCGGGAGCTCGGGCTGAGGGGCGGGCGGACAGGTAAACGTCCAAGGTGCACCAGGGCACGTGCTGACAAGGGCCGCAGAGCGACGGTATGTGGGGTGGGGGGACAGCAGGGGCTGGTGAAGACCCCTCTGAGGAGGTGACTGGGAAGAGGTGGAGGGGTCTGGGAGGGAACAGAGGGTGCAGGGGCTTTGGGGGCAGCTGGCACCTGGGAGAGCTGGGCACCCCCAAACGGGAGTGGGCACCACCCTCATTCAGCATGCCACCCGAAGCCTGTCCGAATCCCCTGCACACCAACCTCAAGACCCTCTTCCCTGAGCCGGGATGCCACCTCTGACCTGACAGACACCCACTGTGCCCAGCAGAGGAAGCCTGACACCAGGGCTCTATTCAGAGCCTTCTCTCCCACCACTGGCCAGAGCCCAGCTCATCCTACTCCTGGGGCTGCTCCTAGGGGCCCCGAGCCATGGGGACACTGGGGCTGCAAGGCCTGGCACAGATGCACCCCCCCCCGCAGGGCCTGTAGTGGTGATGCCCCAATGTGGGCTCAGATGAAACCCTAGGTCAAACCCTGCCCAGGAGCCGTGGCCCCCGAAGCCTCCCCACCCACTAACGGGGATCCCATCCACCTGCAGGTACAGGTGGGGGCCGTTACCATGACAGATTTCTTGGGCTTCGGGCTGGGAGAGAGCAGGGCATGGCTCCGGGCAGGCTTCCGGACATAGATCTTCCAGGTGGAGGAGTCGGGGTTCTCGGCCGCGTAGCACCTCCACGCCGTCTGAACCAGCACAAGGGAGAGGCGGTCAGTTACCCGCTGGGCCTCCCGTGGGGGCTGCAGCTCCCCGATCCTGCCCACACCCCATCCCACACCCCACCTCCTATGGCTGATCCTGTACCAGGCAGCCTCACGCGCTGGCTTGTACTCACAGCTCAGACATCACAGAGGCCCTCGCCTGTGAGCACCGATGCACCTGCCAGCATCTCCCCAACCTGTCCCTCCCACAGATGCACAGACACCCGTGGCTGCCTCTCCTTGGGGCTTGCACGGCGAGTGTAGGGATGGCCACAGAAACCAAGGGCGCCCCAGGCTGTGGGCACCAGGCAAGAGGGCCCAGGAAACAAGGCCCCTCCCAGAGGCCCAAATGTGGGCTCCCAGCGCCGGACACCATCCGTAGCCATGGGGAGCCTCTGGATGTCATGCGGGTGCAGAAGGCCTTGGGCCTATGCTCTAGAGAGATGCCCCTGTGGCCACCGCAGGGAGGAAGTGATGCCACAGCAGGGGATCCGAGGGGAGGACACGCCATGTCTGAGTGGGCAGTGGGGGACCGGTGGGGTGCCAGGAGCCTCAGATGAGGACGCATCCTAGTGGTATTGCTGGCCACGGGGCTGGCAGGGCTCCCGGGGAGCCGTGACATCACCCACGATGGGGACCTGGGCAGGCCCGGTCACCTTCATGCCGCCCATGGGAAAGGCCACAGGCCTGGCCCCTCCGAGGCTGACTCATCACGTCCACTTCCCACCTTCCCCAGTGGTGGGCATGTGTCCTGCCCACAAACGTATGGCCTGGCTGCTACACGTCCCACACCCTGGGGCCCTGGTCCTCCTGTGGCAGGCATGTCTGTACCCCCATGAACATTCCACTCAGACCTGGCCTTTTGCAGGGGTGCTTGCCCCTAAGGCCCAAGGCTCAGCGAGGAACCCGCCACGCTCCCCTCCCACAACAGTCTGCCCACAGCGGCCTGGGTTGGTTTTATGGCCTGATTTATGGTCTCCCCGAAAGGAGAAGGCTGTGGGGCTGTAAAACCAGGCCTGAGGGGGCCCAGCCCCTCGGCTTTATGGCCCCTATTTCCTTCCCGTCCAGGTACACCGTCCAGGCCCCAGACAGTGGGTTCCGGAAGGGCTTCAGAGGGATGAGGGGAGCCCCTGGTTGAGCTGAGGCTCCCAGGTGGAGCAGCGCTTGATGGTGGCCACCCCTCATGGGGCCCTGCCCGGCGCAGAGGGTGCAGGAGACCAGGCCACTGGGGTGACCCAGGGGAGTATCCAGTGCTGGATACAGCTGCCCTGCTGGGCAGAGGGTCCCACATCTGCAGGTGGATGATGCTGATGACGACTGAGCCCCAGGACTCTGCCCGGCCCTCCTCAGGTGAGCCCTGGGCCTACTCATCCGTACTCTGCTGCCCCTGGACCCTCCGGGACCCAGTTTGCAAATGGTTTATCCGCCTGAGTCTTTGTGTGCATTAAAAGGCTCAGTGAGCCTCTGGTGTGTCCAGGAGCTTGGGTCAGAGAGCACAGTGGAACATCCAGGAGCTCAGGACCCCCCCCCCATTGCTCTTAGGCTCTGCTGCCACCAGCCCCCCAGGCTTGTCACAGCCTCCCTAGGGTGCCTACAGGCACCAAGGGGCCCGTGAATCCAGACGGCAGCCATGCTATCGGCTCACCAGGCCTCGCCTGCTGCCACCGGGGAGTCCTGAGCCCCGTGCAGTGCCAGGGACACTCAGAAGTGCCCATGCTGCATAAGCAGAGCCCTAGCCACCCTGGGACATGGCCACACAGGGACCCTTCCCCTGTGCCTCCCAGACCTGCTCCAGTGCAGAGCAGAGGGGTGGCCACAGGAGGAGAACGAGGAAAAAGACGCCAAGGCTGGCTACTGTGGTTGAGAGGTGAGGGGCCCACAGAAAGACCACCCCACCCCGGGACTGGCCAGGGCACATCCTGGCCCCCTGGCCTGCCCCCCAGGATGTGACCTCCCACAGAACCCTCGAGGAAGGGAGATGGGTGCCCCGCGCTCCAGTGCCCACCCTGTCAGACCACCTGCGTGTCCCAGGAGAAGGCACGACGGGTGTGTACGTCTGTGTTGCCAAATCAGCTCATCTATGTTCCAGAAGGACCCGCACTGAGCTTCACGGCCAAGAGCAGTTCCCAGTTCTGGATTCCCAGAACGGACACTAGCTTGTGTTCACCCGCAGACGCGAGACTGGCCATCACAATGGCAGGTGCCGTCACCTGAATGAGCGAGGCTGCCGCCGGGATCTGCCTATTGAAGTGCTTCTGTCTCTGCTTCTGCTGGACCTTTAGGGCGAAGCCAGAGCCAAGAATCCCCTGGGGAGGAGCAGAGGCCAGGGTTCATGTCCACGCAGGCAGCCACTGCCTGGCCAGCCTGTGGGACACGGGAACCAGGGAGACAGTGCGGGTGTCGGGGAGACAGGGTGGGCAGAAGGTAGCCCCGTGGGAGGGTGTGCAGCTGCATCCCTGGATGGACAATGGGATGGACGGGACCCACTTGTCAGGGAGGGAGCTCCCCATCCACCTAGGGGATCAATCGTGCATGCACACACACATACTGTACAGCACGTGGGCAAACACTGTACACACACAACCCAAATGCACATACTGTATGCACACAGCACACACAAGAGGTGCACACGTACTGCATGTGTTTATATGTAGGTGACACATATACACACAGAACACGGACATGTGTCTACATGCAACACACAATACATGGTGTGTGTATGTGACTCATGTGCACATAGTAACACATCATACATATGCCCATGTGTGTCCATAAGGACACATGTAACACACACACACACCTATGTGCACACACTGGGAATGGGAGGTATAACCCTCACGGTGATTTCTGGGGAGGACACAGGTCAGGGCCTGGCCTAGGCCTCGCCAGGCACACAGACTCTGCCTCTGCCTTCATGGGGCAGCTGCTACTGGTGTCTCCCCGTGGCCCCTGGGGCTGAATATCCCGGCCTGCACCCTGCTGTCTGCTACCAAAGACCCTCCCCAACACCCCGGCTGCTGCCCACACCTGCTGCAAAGGGCCCCCTGGGGGTGGTGGAAGGTGAGCTGGGCCTGTGAGTGGGCCTCCCTGGGGGCACCCAGCACGGAGAACCTACCGCTGGGAGCGCAAAGAAGGAGATGGCAAACACAGAGAAGCAGGAGGCGATGGTCTTCCCAACCCACGTCTGGGGCACCTTGTCCCCGTAGCCGATGGTGGTGACCGTGACCTGTAAGAGGGGCAGGGGTCAGTGGTCAGGCCTGGAAGCTTGGGACGGGCGACCATCCAGCCCAAACCTGCTGCTCAGCTAACATGGAGCTCCCACCACTGTCGCCAAGACAGCCGAGGCTCGGTCAACATCAGTGTGAGCACCGTGGATGGTCTGGTCTCCCTGCGCCACCGCCTGCCCCATCCCAGAGGAGTCCTGTCACCCAGGCCACCGACGTTGCTGTGTGGCGGCCCCCAGGAGGCCGGAAGCTCCCACCGAGCTGGTCCTCCACCAAGGGGACAGGGATGACGCGCGACTTCCTGACACCACCCTGGGCACCAGATGTCTCAGCCACCCTTCTTCTGAGAGAACCAGACGCAGCTCAAGCCTTCTTCTTGGTGGGGGAGCAGACCGTCGGAGCTTGTGGCAGGACCACGGGCTGCTCCTGCCCTGCCCCCACCCTGGGCTCCCCTCCTGCTAGCATCTGAGGTTTGCTCCCTGGGGCCTCCAGTGTGAGTCTGAATATGACATCCTGCAGGATCCGAGACCCCAGCCTGGCTGTGCCAGTCACTCAGCCCCAAGTCCCCAGCCCACACCTGCCGGCACGCTGGGCCCTGGGGCTGCCTGTGGGCTTTGCAGGAGGCGGCTCTGAGCCTAGCCAGGGACCCAGGACACTCTAACTCACACACATCTTGTGGCACACACTCATACCCGCACTCCAGGGCAGTAGGCACGGTGGCCCAGAGTGCCCGTGTCATTTCCTGCCTTTGGAGATCACCTGGCTGCCACCTGCCCGCCCTGAGGTCAAGCCTGTCCTGTTCTGAGCAGCCCGGCTTCTCTCCTCTGGAGCCTCTGGTGCAGCGCCAGTGAGAACCTCAAATTCAGGAAGGTCTGCATGGAGTCTTCACTTGACCCCCTACCCCGAGGAGCTGGTGTGGGGCACCGGGGACATAGCATCAGGGCCCGGAAGGCCGACAGACTCCAGCAGAAGGCAAGGCCCAGAGAGGAAGTGTTGAGATCTGCGGCAGTGACTGCCAGGCCATCCCGGGGCCCCACCAGGTGCATCCCACCAGCCACAGAACGCGGAGGGAGAGACCCAGTGGCCACAGCCAGGGAGGGAAACACGTGAGCGCTCGGAGCCGCCGGAAAGGGTGCAGGCCTGTGGACACAGGAGGCAGGTGCATCACATGCGGGAGGCCGAGTCACACCAACGAGCTGGTCAGCACACAGACCACTGCAGGCTAGTGCTCGGCCTCTAGGACCAGGGCTGGCCACTGCTGAGCCCTGCCTGGTGCGCGGGCACGGCGGCCTGACCACGTGTCTGCTAGTGGTCCTGGCACTTCTTTTTTTTTTTTTTTAAGATTTTATTTATTTATTCATGAGAGACAGAGAGAGAGAGAGAGAGAGAGAGAGAGAGAGAGGCAGAGAGAGAGAGGCAGAGACACAGGCAGAGGGAGAAGCACCACAGGGAGCCCAACGTGGGACTCGATCTCGGGACTCCAGGATCACACCCTGGGCCGAAGGCAGTGCTAAACCACTGAGCCACCTAGGGATCCCCGCTCCTGGCACTTCTACAATTTCACTGTCCCTCAAAACACACATCCACAAAAATGCTGAGCTGCCCATGGCCCAGTCCTTTACACGGACCCCATGAGCACATGGAGGTGGGTGTGCACCCACAAATGTGCCTCCCATATGTGGGACACAGCACACATGCAACAGCCTGATGGGTTCAGGCAGCAGCATGTGGCACGCATGTGCATGCATCTCTTACACCACAAGGTGCACAAGGAGGGGCCAGTGCCCACGGTGAGCCCAACACACTCTAGGCTCACTCAGCCCATTTCCACTCGTGCCACACACACTCGTGCCGTGCACACCTAGACCACGGCACAGGTGCCCTCAGGGTGGATGGAGCCAGACCACCCTGGGGCCATGGGCAAGGCTGAGAGCCAGCTGCAGATAAGGGGGCCCCGGGGAAGCCTGGAGCCCTGTGGTCTGCAGGGTGTCCTCTCTGGATAGACTGTGCCCCATGTGTGAGGCCTGGGCCCCAGCCGCCACTGCAGATGGCCGGGGCACACAGAGCAAAGGCAGGTCTGGGGCTGTAAAGGGGGTGAGGGCATCTGAGAACTGAGCCCTCTTTTAGGAAATAAAATTTTTTGTCATTTTATTTATAGCAACATAGAAGGGGTCTGTTACCATTTTAATGAATACTGAAACAATTTTTAAATTCCCCGGTCTTACTCTTCTATGCATTAAGCATTGATGGGTATGACCCACGTGAACAGAAGCTCTCCAGGGTCTGTGGCAATTGTTGAGTGCCGAGTGGACCCAAGACCCATAAGTTTGAGAGCTGCCGGGCAGGGAGAGACAGGGGCGGCCAGCAGGCATGCCTACCTCAGGTGCCAGGTTTAAGGGGGTCCCAGAAAACTCAGACATCAAGTCAAATAATACATAATACAACCTTTTAAATTATCAAAATTAATACCAAAAGAATCCCCGTGATGATGGGGCAGCGAATGTCAGAGGCAGGGTGGGATGGGCCACAAGCCAGGGCCCCCAACACCGTCTCCCTGAGCAGGTTGACCAGCATCCTGGTTCCCCTGGCTCCATGACGGCTGGGGTGCCTGTGCTCCCCACAGCAGGCCAGCAGAAGTCAGGGTGCCCGGCCAGGCATCCCCCACCCTGCGGAGGGCACATGCCTCTCAGACCCTGTCACAGAGCTGCTTTGTCAAGTTAACGACGTCGTTTGGCCCCGGAGGAAACGGCCCATCCCCTCAGAGCTGGTGCTTTTCCTGAGTTTACAGACACAGGCAGCTCGGATGGCCCGTCTCCAGGGCTGGGCTTGCCGTGCACACCCCGACCAGGGCGATCTGGGGCACAGAGCTGCACATCGCAGGCCCACAGATGTGGGGAGACAGCGTGGCCACCGCGGCCCTCCGTTGGGCGCCAGCCACCAGGCAGCAGGGGACGGGGATGGGGCTGTGGAAGCAGGCAGGAGGGGGACCAAGCTGTCCTCGTCCTCTGGACGCCGGCACCGGGTGTGTGCTCGCCTCTGCGTCTTCGCTCACATTTTGAGGCATGGTGGAACCTTCCAAATCCCCGACCCCCACACTTTCTGCCCTGAGAAGCTGGCACTGGTGTTTTGTTCTGCTTTTTAAAGCAGCCTCTGGGAGGCTAGCCTCCGGCGAGATGGGCAGGCCAGACCAGAAACCTTGGCTGCACAGAAACCCCCAGGCCGGACCCATCTGGAGGTGTCATGGCTGTCTGTCCACACGTGAGCGTGATGGCAGTGCCAGTGTAGACGCTTCAGGGCTCGTACCACCAGACGTGCACCGACTTGGCAAACTGTGACCTTAGCCTGAGTCAAGGACCCTCTTACAGGGGGCGAGACTGAGGCCAGCAGGCGTGGGCACTGTGCACGAGGTCATGGTGGGGAACCGGGGCACCGGCAAGGGCACAGAGCAAAACCCAGGCCAGAGGCAGCCACGCCATCGCGTGCCACCAACCTGCCCAGAGGAGGCAGGGAGGACGCAGCCAGGGCGAAGAGAAGCGTGGATGAGGGTGGTGGGTGGGTGGCAGGACCATCTCAGGTCCCCGGGCACTTGTCCCGAGGGCACGCCTACCCTGACCGCTGTGGAGATGCCCTGGGGCGCGGCCAGGCTGGTGGGAAACGGCTGATATGCTGGCACATGGGGGCCAGAGAAGAAGCCAGCCAGGCCGGCAAACACCCCAAAGAAACCAGCTTCGCTTCCGTGGGCAGAACGAAGTAGCTGGACACGACAGACCCACGCCGCCCAGAGCCCCTCAGTCGGTGGGTCTGCTATCTCCAATGTCACCGCCTCAGGAGGCCCTCCCTGACTGCTAGGGCAGAGGAGGTCCTCCAGGGACCCCGCAAATCACCTCGTGCAGACCACGGCTGTAGCTCTGGGAGCACAGGGCCAGGGCTGCCCACCACCCTGCCGCTCCTTGCCAGCGCTGAGCAGGACTGCAGTGACGTCCCAATGTCACATCTGCACGTGGGGAAACAGGCTTTCTTGCCGAGAGAGCCTCATGGTCCAAGCAGAGTCTTCACAGCCACAGAAACTTCTGCTGCCTTCCTGGGCTTGCAGAGTCCTCAGTGAGCCCCACATTGACCCTAGGAAGTACTCTGTGGCCTCCCCCTTTTACAGACAGGGAAACCGAGGAATGAACCAATCATGTGCTTACTGGCCCCTAGGGCCAGTTCAGCGGTGCAGCTAACCTGGCATCCCTGCAAGTGGAACCCGTGGTCTGCCCTCCTTGTCTCCACCACCTGTCTGATAAAGGGCCTTCAGCCGTCCACGAGCCCCTGCCCTGTGGCCAGCCTGGCTGAGGCCCTGGGGAGGGGGATCAGAAACAAGAGGTCCGTGGGATTCAAGGAGGAGCCAAAAAACATGTGCCGAAGGGGGCCACTCTGTGAAGAAGGTGCTGGACGTGGGGAGCCGGTCAGGGGCACAGCAAGACTCTAAAGCCAGAAGGGCTAAGGAGTATGACTGGACCATGGCAGCCATATACACTTTAGTGTGAGTTAGCTTGCTATAGGTCCAATGTAAGTGGCTGGCTTTGGGGAATGTCTAGAGAGCTGTGACTGGCAAAGGCCCCCCACGATTTACAGCCAGCCTTTGCGGCCTCCTTGCTGGGTGCCCAGTGCCCCAGGCTACCTATGTCCTTGCTGATTCAACTTACCCAATAATTCATGTATGTACCCAGTTTACAGACGGGCTCAGAGAGACCGGGTAACCTGAACAGGGCCACACAGGCGGCTGGTGGTGGAGCTGGGATCCACCCCCACACCCCTGACCACAGCATCACACCGCTTCCTATTTCACAGTGTTTCCTGATGCTGACCATGTCTCTTTCCACGGGGCTGAAGCTGCTAAGTCCTTACCCTCGCTGACATGAGCTGGACCCCACCCCAGACGAAATCAGTCCTACATACTACCCTCATTGGGCTCGCCAAGTCACAGAAGAAATACTACCCCCCACTCCCACCACGTATTAGCCAGGGGGCAGGAAGTGCAAGATGATGCACTCCAATTGCAGACTCCTACTCATCCTGCAAAACCTATTGCAAAGGTCCTTCCTTGGGGAAGACCCTCTGGCCGGGCTCCCAAGGCCCACGGTTCTTACCCCACACCTGAGGGCCTACAGACACAAGACTGGGCTCCTGCAGACCCTGGTTCTCAGCTGTACAGCACTTGCAGGCTTTGCAGAGAGCTCCAGGCAGAGAAAGAGCCCCAGCATGGGTGGGTCTGGGTGCTGGGGCAGGGGCCTGGCCTGCCACCCCCAGCCCATGGGCTTCAGTTTTTCCAGCTTCAGATGAGGCCCTGACACCAGCCCCATGATCTTGGCGGTGCCGACTGGGCTGGCATGTGACCATTTTGGGGGTCCTGTCCTCACCCAGGCCCTTACTCAGCCCCCAGACCCACCCGACCTCACCCGGCCAGGAAGCAGTTTGGCCCAGGAGGCTGGACCCTCCTGGAGCTGCCAGCCGAGGAGAGAGTGACCAGGAATCAGACTCTAAATGGCGGTTGAAATGCAGGGACAGGCTTCCAGCGTTTTTGCTCTAAAGTCTAAATTTAGATGCAGGGGGGTAAACAGAACCCAGCAGCCTCTTGATTTTAGAGACCCCCGGGCGCTTAACAGAGGAGCCCGTGTTTGCAAAAACGGCTTTTCCCTCCACTCAAACTTTAACACAAACAAACGCATTTTGTTCCAAGGGCGAAGAAAAAAGTCTTAAATCCTCCCCAAACACCTCCACAGCCAGGCATGGGGCGCCACACTCGGGGGAGCGGGGAGCTCTCACGCCAGTGTCGGGTGTCCCCACCAGGGTCGGGGGGCAGGAGGAGACACTCAGCCATTGAGCCCACAGCTTCACTAGACGACATAGAATCTGAAGCTTGGTGGTGGGGGGGGTTCTTCTCGTGAAGTCTGGCCGGGACACCGCTGTCCTGGGCTGAATAGCATCCCCCCGAAAGTCACGTTGCCCAGACCCTCAGAATATGAGCTCATTTGGACATAGGGCCTTTGTCGAGGTGCTTATGGTAAAATCTTGAGTCGAGATCATCCTGGTTTGTCCAGGCAGCCTCTAAACCAGAGACAAGAGACAAGTGTCCTTACAAGCGACAGAAGATGCGGCTACAAACCCAGAGACGCCTAAAGCCCAGGAGGCTGGAAGAGGCAGGAAGGACCCTCCCCTGGAGCCTCAGGAGGGAACGTGGCCCTGCCCACGCTTGGATCTCGGACTTCTGGTCTCCAGAGCTGGGAGACAATACACTTCTCTGGTCTGAAGGGCCTCGGTCTGTGGGACCTTGTTGGGGCTGCCCCGGGAGATGGATGCCCCCACTGTCCCCAGGGCCATGGGCAGAACCAATCCGCGGGCTCGCCACCCTCTCATTCATCCACACGACGGACACTGCTGATCCGATGCCGAGGATGCCCAGGGCTGCCTCAGGGGCACCCACAACCCCACCACTGGGCTTGAGAGGTCTCGATGCCAGCCCTCCAGAGGGACTCCCATGGCTCTGCAGAGGGAAATATGGGGCCCACCCTTCCCACCCCCCGGGGGCTGAGACGCCCTCCTTTGGAGTCTGTCCGGAGCCTCTCTGGGAAGCCCAGGCCTGCAGGGTGGGGGGTGGGAGGGGTGCACAGGCCAAGCCCTGGTGGACCTGGGGCGGAGACCAGGGGACCTGCTGCCTTGGGCCTCCCAGGGCGGCACCCCACCCCCATCTGTCCCAGATAGGGAGCCTCGGGGCAGGGCCAGGCAGGGGCCCGGCGCCCCCTCCCACGGGAGGCAAGCTGGACACGGGCAAAGAACAACCGCCGGGCGCAGTGGCAAATCACCAAACTGGCTTCCAAGCCCCCATCGGGCCGGCCCTAGTCTTGCATTTCTCGAGCTGTTTGTCCGAGCCGCGCCAGGAACACAGCCCATAACTCAAGCCTCGGGCCGCTCCCGCTCGGACAGCTGCAGGGGCAGCCGCCGCTATGAATGGGCGCGTTCGCCCCACAGCCCCAGGGGGCGGGGGGCCCGGGCGGCCCAGAGGCGCAGAGCCCGGTGGGAACAATGGCCCGGCCGGGGCCCGCGGTGGCCGGGGCCGGGGCTGCAGCTGACGGCGGGGCCGGGGCACCGGTGCCAAGCCGGGTACAAAGGGGCTGTTCTCCCGGCCGGCGGGCGGATGTTTGCACAGGTGTGGGAGAGGGGGCACCGCTCCGCCGGGGGCTGGGGGCAGGGGAGCCGCCCGGGGAGCTAGGGAGGGCAGCGCCAAGGCCGGGCACCGCTTATCGGCCGGCCTCGGGCAATCGCCCACACACTTCCTCCTGGCTCTGGGCAGCCTGTCCCCACGTGGGCCTGCCACCAGGGCCTGTCCCCTCCACCCACCCCGGCAAGCTCCCTGCCGGCGGCCGAGCCCTCCTGCCCAAACCTGCCAGGGCCTGCCACGCCAGGGCCTATGGGGGCATCGGCGCTTGTGGTGGGGAGTGCGGAGGGGCCTCTCCCAGGCATGGAGTCGAGTTAGCATGTCCTCGTCTTCCTCCAGCAGCCTGGCACGCTGGAAGCTTCCAGAAAACACGCAGACTCGCTGACATCAGGGACCCTGCCTGTGTGCTTGGCCTTATGGGCGTGGAACACAGACATAGCAGGGCATGTGTGCCCACCAAGGGTACCGGGTATAGGGAGGCTTCCCGGTCCACCCAGACAACCGGGGATCAGCCTCCTTTCTGGAGGGGGGTGGGAGCCCCAGCTGAGAGCAGGGCCCATTTTCTCTGGAAGGGAAAAGACTGGGGACTGACATGGCTGGGGCCTGCCCCCTGCCCCATTCCCCTTAGACCCCGTGCTGCCCCCATGGCCTCACCACATCTCATACAGGCTAGGACCCTCTGCTGTCCCTGGGCCCCCCTCACCTTCATGAGCCCAGATGTCAGCCGCCCCACCCCCAGCTGTGAGGAGCGCCCCACTCAGCCACGATCAGCCTGCAGCAGGGCCAGTGTCCACCTGCCACTGCCCACTCCACTGCTCCTGGTTCTCTTCTAGACCCTCCTGAGGCACTGGTGGGTCACACCCCAGAGCACTTTGAAGGAGGGAGCACTGCACCCCAGAATGGTGGGAAGCGTGAGGACCTAGCCTATGGCCCATGCCCCGTCCCTCCCATAGCAAGGGTCCATCCTGGGCTGTGGCAGGGCCTTGCACATGCCATCGCCAGCCTGGGGCCTGATCCCTGGGGGTGGTAAAGCTACCAGCCACCCTGTCATCAAGTGCCTCACCTCCCCACGAGGCCCAGGGTGTGGGTAGAGGGTGTGATAAGGGGCACCTTTCACACTCCAAACACTTGTTCTGCGGGCCCACATGACAGGGACACGGGCAGGCCCCAGGGTGCATGTGGCTAACAGAGGCCTTGCCTGGCTGTCCAGCAATGGTAGTCCTCAAGGGAATGTCCCTCGCCCCTGCAGGCCTGACCTGGGAAGCCCCTGCCTGCCTTCCTGAGGGCCCCTCTGCCTCATGTCCGTGTCTCCTGCAGACTGGAAGCTCAGGGAGCCGAGAGCCACCCAGTCCATACTCTGGACCACTTGCAAATGAAGCTGGGTGCCAAGTACGGGCCCTGCTGGTAGTGTGGCCCAGGAGTCCATTTCCACAGCCAGAGGAGCCCACACTTCTGTGAGCAGGGCCTAGCTGCAGCATCTGCAGGCTGGACACACGGCCCAGACAGGGGGACACTCCTCCTTTCTCTTGAGGACCTGTGCCTGTCATATCACAGCGTTGTTTGCTATTTAATTCTGCATTCCTTGGTGCAGGGGTGCTCCTGGGGACAGCACAGATCCTCCCGGACAGGCAGGACCTGCGCCTGACCCCACCTCCCCACGCGACCAGGGCAAAGGTCAGCCAGTGCCCCGGGTCTGGCCACAGAGAGCCCCCCCTGGGGGTGGGCGGGAGCTCCCAGGCCCAGCACATGCCCTATTGGATACCCACTGCACAGGCTCAGAGATATAGAGACCCTCCCCCCGCATCCCCCAAGCACAAAGGGTCCAGCATTGGGCCCCCAAGCATTAGCACAAAGAGCCTTCCACCCAAACCAGCAGGTCCCAGAACCCGGCGCCCCCGGTCCTCCCGCCCCGGGCACCTGCCCCCACTTACCACTCCCCACCACAGGGCATCTGCATAGCTCCCAAACTCCACTTGGCCCGAGTCGTTCACGGCGTCCTTCTCGGCCAGGTACACGAAGTACGAGGAGAAGATGAGGCCCAGGAAGCCGATGTACAAGGTGGTGATGAGCTCCTGGGGGCACAGTGGGCAGAGGGGCCGCATCAGCTGGGTACTCATGGTGTCCCCGGCCTCTGTGACAGTGCTCCAGGCAGACGTCACTGGCTGGGGGCACCTACAGGTGGTTCTCTGTGAATCCCCAAGTGCTTTGCACGCCTGCACTGGACTTTAGGACAGCGCACCTCCACTTCTTCTCAGTGGCCAGTGGCGGGCCCTGGCCATCACCTGAGGGACAGGTCAACACACAGGCTCCGAGGCCCCCAGCTTTGCCCCAGGACCGAGGCGCTGCACCTTCGTGGGACTTTTCCCATCTGCCACTGTGAGATCCCTGAGCCTCACTCTCCATCCTGTACTTCTGTCCCTGCTCTGCCCCTGGCTCTGCCCTCCACTCCGCCCCCCGCTCTGCCCCCCGCTCTGCCCCCTACTCTGCACCCACATTCTGCCCCCAGCTTCTGGTCCCCAGCTCCGGGTAGTGTGGGCACATCATCTGCCTGGCAGGTGGGGACGTGGGCACCACAGCATGCGAGGCACTGAGACTCGGCATAGCACTCCATCCTCCCCCAGCCTCGGGCCCTCCACCCCACCCAGACCACCCACCTGGCGATGGATGAAGACCACAGAGCCAAGCAGCCTCCAGGTACCTCCCTGGCGATCCACATGCAGCATCCTCAGGATCTGGAGGAAGCGGATGCCCCTGCGGGGGACATACCTCTGTACCCCTGGCCCCGACTCACCCTCAGCCACCTCTGAACAGCCCCCACCCTCAGTGCAGCCCCTCAAAGTCCGGCCCTGAAACTGCCCACTTGCCACCATGCCAGCCTCACCGTCCCTCCTCAAACAAGTGTTGGGGCCGAGGGCAGCAGGCCAGGCCACAGCCAAATTTCTTTGGTCTCCAGGCCACTTCTGGGGGGAGGCCTTGGGATCACCTCAGTTTACAGATTAGCAAACTGAGGTCCCAGGATGGTTAGGTTCCAGCCCAAGACCCAGAAGTGCTCTTGCTGGGTCTCAAACCCAGGGAGCCTAACTCAGTGTGGGGTCTAAGCCTGCACCCCGACCCCCAGCATGCTGCCCCGGGCTCTTGTACCCCCAGCTGGGATAGCTTGCAGCCCAGGTATACCTGATGGCCGAGGTGGCAAACACCTGCCCCTTGGAGCCCACGCAGAGGACAACCATGGAGGCCAGGACCACGATGAGGTCTGAGGAGAAGGGGCGGTGTGTCACCAGCCAGGCAGCTGGCTCAGGGGAAGGAGCCTGGCGGTCAGGAGGACAGGGCCACTCGGACAGGGAGACTGGCCCTCCATCTTGGGCACACCCAGGCATACCTGGCCCACCTCCCAGCCCCACTCCCAGGCCACCAGGGCAGCAGATCCCCATGCTGTGCTGGGCACAACCAAAGCAGTGCCCTAAGGGCAGCATCTGGGGCTGCCTCCCATGTTGGGGGGGTTACCCTACTGGCCTCAGGGAGACTCCAGCTGCTGGTGCTCATGATGGGGACCCACCCTGCCGGATCCCCCTCCCTGGGGTGGGTGCCTAGCCCTTGCCTGGAAACCTGGGGTGGGGGGTAAAAGTCCCCTGGGGGCAGGCGGGACTCACCAATGATGGAGATGGGCTTCCGGGCAAAGCGCAGCCTCCCCCAGATGCCTACATACTTGCTGCGGCAGCCTGCTGACCAGAGGCGGACCACATACTCCGTCCCAAAGAATACCACCAGGACAATCTCCTGAGGGGCAGAGGGGAGTGAGCCAGTGGGGCCTCTGCTGAGAGGCACCCAATAGCAGCCGGCCTGGGTCCTGGTCTTCCAAGGGTGGGTGGCACCTAGTGCATGGTCCACCTGGATAGGCCAGGTCCACTGCCAGCAGACACCTGCAGCTCTTCAGACCAGGGCCCAAGCAGGCCCAAGGGGACATCCACAGCAAGGCTTGGGAGAGGCTCAGGGCTTGTGTCCTCACCTGGCCCTGAGAACATGACATCCTGGGGTGCACATTCTCTGGCCAGCACTCATTTGAACCACTGAGCTCCCAGAGCTCAAACCATACATCCTCATGTGGGTGTTGGAAAACATCCATCCTCATGGGGTGGCCCCTCTTTCACCTCATAGCCACCATGTCACCAAGGACACAGAATCCGGGGACACTTGGTAGCTATCACTGGGCCCAAGTGCAAGAGCACCCAGAGCAGGGGAGGTGAACACCAGGAGGAAGCAGCATGGGGTCTCAGAGGGCATCACTGGCACTCCCCTCAAAGGAAAGGCGGGTACCAGGTCGGCTGTGGAGTAGTGCCCCTCAGGAGGCTCCTTCCACAGCCAGGGCTCTGACAAGGACCACTCCATACATCAGGCTGCGGTCAGGTGCATCAAGGAGGGGAAGCCAGAGTGCCAAGATCCAGGCTACAGAGGACGGATGGGCAGTGGATATAGACAGGTAGGTGGATGGGTGGACAAGCGAGGGCAGATGGTGTAAAACCCAAGTTCAACAGCAAACCAGACAACCCAGGTGAGGTAGACAGGTTCCCAGAGACTGAACCCTACCAAGATTAATCAGAAAGAAATATGAAATCTGAATAGACCTATAACCAGGGAGGAGATTGAACCCGGGATCAAAATGCTCCCAGCAAAGAGGAGCCATGGACCCAAAGGCTTCCCTGGTGAGTTCTACCAAACATTTAGAGGTCTAATTACAATCTTTCTCATATTTTTCCAAAACAAAACAAAACAAAAAACTGAAGAGGACGGAACACTTCCTAACTCGTCCTGTGAGGCCGGCATTCCCCAGACACCAAAGCAAGAGAAAGATATTGCAAGAACAGAGGAACATACACAGGTATGTGAGCCAGTTCCAGAGCAAGTTAGATCACACGCTATAACCAAGTGGGATCTATGTTTGGAATGCAAGGATGGTTCCGCTTAAGAAAACTGACCAACAGAACACATCACGTTAACAGAACAAAGGGGAGGGGTGGGGGGGATGCGTGACATCCATTGATGCACATGGAGAAAACATGGGAAAAAATGCCACCCCTCTTCATGTTGAAAGCAGCGGACCAACCAGGAACACAGGGAGACACCTGCACGTGATAAACGCCACATTTGAAAACCCCACCGTAAATAGCGCACAAATGATGACAGTGAAAGAAAGATGGGACGCTCTTCCTCTACGATCAGGAACAAGGCAAGAACACCCATCCCCGCCAGCCTGTGTGACGCTGTGCGACAGACAAGCTCCAGCCAGAGCAAGGAGGTGAGGAAAAGAAAGAAAAGGTGTCCCGATTGGGAAGGAAAAATAAGATTATCTCTATTCAGAGAAGATACGATCTGATGCATGGAAAACTCTAGATTCCACAGGCGCACATGCCTGTCGAATCTCACTAGAATTCAGCAGAGTGGGGTGCAAAGTCAGCACACACCAATGCATGGTACCCTTTCCACCACCAACGAACGATCTTAAGAAGAAATGACAAAAGCCAGTCCCGTTTACAGTAGCGTCAAGAAGAATAAAATATTTGTGAATTAACCACGGAGGCCAAAGTCTTGCAGAATGAAAATACCGCGTCGAGAAATGGAAGGAGACACACAAGGTCAGGTGCGCCCCGTGTTCCTGGGCCGCACGAGGCAGAGCTGCCAACGCCACCCAAAGTGATCTACGGAGGCAACGCCATCTCTCTCAAAAACACAATGACTTTGCTCTCTCTCTCTTTTTTGTAGAAATAGTGGTCTTAGGTTCATGTGGAATCTCATGGAACCCTGAACAGTCCAAACAAAACAGGGTCCATCCACACAAGGGATGATCGTTCAGCCTTATGAAGGAAGGAGATGCCGACACCTCCTCCAGCATGGACCCACCCTGAGGGCACACTGAGGGGAAAGGCTAGACGTGCTGGCCTCCAGCTGGCCCCCTGCCCCGTCCTCCCCTTGGAGTCTGGCCCTGGCAGGGGACATCTGCCCCCACGTGGTGGCAGTGCAGGTCCTGCTCCCATGCCCCCCTTTGCCCTCCCCACCCGGGAGCCTGCCACGAGGGGGTGGCTGGACACTGCCCACTGGCTCCCAAGTCTCATTAATTCGGGTGTGAAATAGTGCTCCTGCCACCCAGCTGGTGTTGGAGGCAAGCTCAGTGAATAATGGGGAGAAAACACGGGAAATTTTCTCTCTCCTTTTGCAAAAAAGTTCTCAGTTCACAACGTGGATCCTTTGGGGTGGGGGTGGGGGCGCTGTGCATGGCTGATGGGAGAGCCAGGGGCATGCGAACCTGCAGTCTCTGTGACCTTGAGGCTGGCAGCAGGCTGAGCCCATAGGGCGGGGGCCACATTCAGCGCCCAGCCCCTCTCCGCGGCCCCACAACAGGGTCTGCCCTGGCTGGCATTCCACGTGGGTCTGCTGAATGAACGAACGCACGCACAAGTAAGCCAGTAAGTAGCCTGAGAGCCCCCCGCTCACAAGGCTGTGTCCCGTTCACGTCTTCCCCAAGGACCTGGCCCTGCCAAGTCCCAGGAGGCAGGACGAGCCCGTGGTCAGTGATGTGACCGCAGGGAAAGGATGGGGCTGTGTGACTTCCATGATTGGCCATCACAAGAAGGGCCACAGGAGCCACCACTCTCAGAGTTCCCAAAGTGGACACACGGGCACTGGCATCTTCATAGAAGAGGAGTCGCCGGGCCACTGGGTGGTCCCCAAAGGAGCCATCCCCAGAGCCTCCATCCGAGCACATCCACACACCAACCAGCTCATCAATCGCTTCGTGGTTTACGTTCTTATTCTGATGCATTTTTAAAAATTACTTAAAAACCTTCTTCAGTTGTATCCTAAGCAGATTCAAAGTACTCGACACATCTTATAAAAGACCTTAAACTAAATAAGTAACCATAGGGACTGCTGCGTCCCCACCCCCACCCCCCAAATCACCTTGCTCTCACACTTTGGGAGACCCTGGTCCCGAGCTCAGAGCTACCCCTGCTCCCAGGGCTGGCGGTCTGAGAACACGGACTCCCCTCCACAGGGCTGAGGTGTAAGAATAATTTAAAACAATGCTAATCCTCAAATCCTGTTTGAGTCTGGAATGCAGCACGAGGCCGGGCTGGCTGCAGGCTGGCTGCATGGGGCGCTCCCGGCGTCCTGGCGAGGCCGAGCTCACTGATGCCACACTGTCAGCCCGCCGTGAAGGACGGGACAGAGGCTTCACTGTCCAGAGGCACGAGACAGCAGGGACAGACATTTGCTCAGAGATAGAACAACCTCCACCACTGGCAGGGTGGCACTCAGGGGGCAAGGCCACAGCCAGGACCTCAGAACCCAGCGCTGCTTGCAGGAACCTGTGGGGGCTCCCAGGGACAGGTTTCCTGGCCAGCCTGGCCTGGGGCTACCTCTCAGAGCCATGTGTCCACCGACCTGGGCTCAAGAGGGCTCTTCCTAGCCCAGGGCTCCGGCCCAGCAGGGGCCCCGGATATTTTCACAGGCTTGACCTTGGCCATCCCAGGCCAGAGGCTGCCTGGGGCTACGACAGGGCTTAATCGTCTGGACACTGGTAGAGACCAGGGGGCGGAGGGCAGTAGGGGGCCCGTAGGAGGGCTGAGCCCTGTCGTCCCTGATGCCTCCTCCAATGTAGGGCCAACACCCTCCGTCTCCGGCAGGTTCTCCAGAGGGCAGGGACACCTCCTCATGGTTCCGGGCTAAGGGACCCAGGTGGGGAACCCCCCCCCCCCAGCCCCTGGCTACCCTCTGTGCAGTTTCCTGCACTCTGGCAGGAGCAGGCCCCAGGGCCATCCGTCGTGCATACCAGGACCTCAGCAAGCCCAAAGGTGAACTAAAGGGGCCCTGCCAACAGCTGTCGCCTCCCCCAGGCCTCATGCTGAGGCCGCCGTTGTCACTCCTCACAGCCTACAAGGTAGGGTCAGGGCGTGTGTCCCCCTTCCCAGGGCCCCACCCCCAACCCACCCTGAGAGCCACCCATTAACCCAAGGCAGCACCCCCCCACCCCCACACTGCCCCACCCCCAGCTCCCTAGTGCTCTGCACCTCGGATACTCCTGGTGCCCTCCCGACATGTCCCTGCTCAGGTCCTCACACCTTCTCAATCCAGCTCAGGCCCCCAGCGGCCCTCCCAGGAGCCCCATCAGCACACCTGTGGAAGCCACTGGGCTCCCCTACTGATAACAGCCAGCCCAGAGGCCCTCCCGGCTGCTGCATGTGGTGTCTGCGTGACCCCGGCTGTGCACAGGGTCAAGGATGCAGGCCGGGAGGCTCTGGTGTTGTTGGTGCATGGCCCTGAGCTCTGCCCTGCAGGTACAAGGAGAGAGGCTACGCTGGTGTCAGGGACCTCGCTGACATTGCAGCCAAACCAGAGGGACAGAGGGACCCCTCCCACCATCACACAGAAAAAGCAAGGCCGCCTCCTGGCTGCAGTCAGCTTCATGGATGAGGGGCCCATGAGTCAGGGTGGGTGCAGAGACCAAGGTACAGACCCAAGCATTTCCTCGCCGTGGGGGGACCAAGTGGCTATTGAGCCCCCCATTCCCACCTGTGTCGCTTGGTGAATCTCAGTCCAGGCCTTTCTGGGCTCTTCCTGTGGGTCTTACCGGAGGCGGGTGCTACGGGGTGGCTCATAGCCGTGCTGTCCGTGTAAGTCAGAAGTGTTCTCAAGAACATACTTCCTAAGCAAAAACCCAATTTAAAAATGGGTTGAACAGACGTTTCTCTAGAGAAGACACACAGGGGATCAACAGACACCAACCT